TCTAAAGCCGCGTCTCAATTGTGCTTGATTCTAAGACTTCAACTTAAGCTCGTGTTTCTTGCGTGATATCGGCTCCAGTGAGGAGCAGTGTTAAGTCCAGCGCCACCGCCTGACAGTTTCATGTAACCACAATATGTCACGCTGAAATTTATGTCTTGGCTGTAAATCCACTCAAAAACACTATGGAGTGTCTTTCGATGCTGATATCAAACACATAAATATTTGTGAAGCCAAAAAAAAAATTATTTTTTGTTCTGCACGGAAGATGCATCATAGTCAGAGACACTGCTGATCTCATTTTTGGATAAAATGAAAGTTCAAAACCTTCAAACCTCATTAAAAATATATGTTCAGGTCTCCATTTTCCGGTAAATAAATAAAAAATATTCTCTTAAAGGACATACAAATTTCAAAGTAAATAAAGTACATATACATTTTTTAAACTAAAGATCATTTCTATACCTTTTATTCAGTAACGCATGTCTCTTTAAATGAAAATAGATGATATGCTGAAGAAAAAAAGAAGAAACTATTTAAAATATAGCCGTTGAAGCTGTTCACTTTCAGCTGTTCCGTTTTCTCGAAACATGCACAGAAAATCCAGACACATCATTCAATGACAGAATTAAAAATTCCTGTCACAAAGTCATATAAACTCTATTCAGTCAGGAATTAAAATTTTCCTCTTAACCAATCAGATACTAATTTACTCAATTCCAAAAAATCTAATTTCCTCTTCCTTGTGGAACGCAAGGAGACTCGTACTGAGATCTACCGGCCGATATTTCCGTGTCCATTGTTTAATACACTATACAAACCAGTTCGAATTGAATTGAATTGAAATAGTCACTGTACAGTCACACGGTTGAACAGACAAAACAGACAAACAGTCGGCTCTTAAAAGTTTCTTGGTAAAAGCAGGTGATTGTGATCAGCCGAACTGAGACACTGTTGAGATGATGGAGACATATGATCCTGGTCCAGCTGCTAAAGACGCAGAAATGTCATACCTTTGATTACATGTGCTGCAAGATAACATTTGGCTGCTTCTTCTTTAAATACATTTCAATCTAGTTATAACAAAAGATAAATAAAATGTTATTAGCAGCCATGTCATAAAGTACTATTTTTCATTAGCGGAAAGTTTTCTTGTTCTCGCCTGTTTGTCGCGTCCATAGTCCTGTTCACTGTTTTATTTAAGTTTATTTAAATGTTGACTGTATGCAAAAAAATGCTAATTGGACATTAATTTGTCTAGATGTTGTGTTTTCTCACAGCAGTAATGAAGCAAAGATGTCTTAAAAATAAAGAAGTTCAACATTTATACTTAAAAAGACTCCGACTGTCGCACCTGTTTCTGTTTTGCAGATAAAACTGATGGACTTCGTTATGATTTTTTGTCTGAAAAGTGGTGTGTTATGTAATATGCTGCTTTCTTTACTGCCACACAACCATTTTCCTGTAACATTTCATTTTCTGTTGGAAAAGTAATGTTTGGAATCCAAATTTTTTTCATTGACTCAATAATGCAGAAGTCATAAAATAAACATTTTATTCAATGACATTTTTATGACATAACATTTACAAACACAACACACAGACACACAGACACAAACAGTTGCACTATGGACAAACAAAAAGACAATTTTTTGCTGTTAATACATCACATGTATGTAATGTGTATGTGACAAATAAAGAACCTTGAACTTTGAACCACTTAAGATAAAAATTTGTATTTATAAAATTACGGTGTATACTCATTTATCGTTCCTGGACACCGTAAAAAAATTCCTAGTGGAAACTCTGAACTCTTTTTTCCCTGTTACTGTAATTACTGTGTACTGGCTGTGTAAAGGCCTTCAAGATTTATCAAAGTGTGAAATTTAGATCAAGACATCAAATCACAACTTGTTTTTATGAAACTTCTGAGCCCGTGTTGTAATTTATAACCCGAAATCGAACATCAGTTTCTTAACTCCACTCCTTGACAGCTCCTGCTTTGTCCATTTGACATTTTCTGGGCATTATTTGTGGGCCGTTGGGACGATCTGAGACGAAGTAATACCACTAATACGTCTGATATTACCTCCACGACGCAGCTCATATTCCGCCGAAATATTTTCAGCATCACTTTCTGACAGCGAAGCCGCCGAAATAGGAGGAACGACTAAAAATCCCTGACAGCCGTGGCAGCTTGAGGGTTATCACAGCGCTGAAGATATTATTTATGACATCCAGTGAATGGCCTGGGGAGAGAAGGTAAAGAAACACCTGATGACAGCGGGGAATAAGGCCATCATGACCGGCTGACCCCATTGTGACCCAATCAGACCGCTGAGGGACTGCGGCTGATGAAAAAGACTCCGAGACAGATGTTTCATCAGCGTGAGTTTGACACACACGATACATGATGTCAGAACAGCAGGTCCTTCTCTCACACCTCTGATTCCTATAGGCAGAGTGAGTGTGATCACACACACCCTCACACACTCTCGATAGCAACTCACACTATGTGTTAAAATACACAGTGTGGAATTCTGGACTCTGATTGGTCAGAAGGTGTTGATTAATTTTCTATAACAGCAGCTCTGACAGTAGTGCAGGTTTATATTAATGCGCTTGTTGTAATGTTAGTGTTTCTATAGTAACGGCTCGTTCACAGGGACTCGTACAGCAAACGCTCCACATAAACTGCTTAAAAAACATCTGTAGTCGTTGTTTTTTTATGTTTTATTAATTTAATTTTTTTCTGTTTTGTTGTTTTTGTAGAAGATGTGATAATAATTGTGACATGACACCTAACGAATGCATAATTGTAATATTTGTAATTAAAAATTTGTCATTCTTAATTCAACATAAAAATTTTTAAACGTTATTCTTAATCACAACTTTGTAAGTTATTCAGAATTAGGATTTGAAAGTTGTATTTTGATTTTGAACATTACGAAACTTTTGAAAGTTATTTATAAATATCACTTTGTAAATTGTTCAAATTATGATTTGAAAGTTCATTTCAGTTACAACTTTGTAAGTTATTCAAGAATTACAGTTTGGAAAGTTCTTTGTAATTCTGAGTTTCTAAGTTATTTGGAATTAAGATTTTGAAAGTTCTTCATAATTACGACTTAAAGTTATTCAAATTAAAATTTTGAATGTTATTAGGAATTTTTAAAGTTATTTGTAATTATGAATTTACAGGTCATGACGCTCATTAGCAAACTAGCTAACTAACAACTGTCGCGATGTCATAAGTTCAACTCTAATTACTTGAAGTTAACCTCCTGCAAATAAAGATGTTCCATTGTTCTCTCTCTCTCTCTCTCTCTCTCTCTCTTTCTCTTTCTCTCTTACACACACACACACACACACACACACACACGCACGCACACACAGGGCTGACAACTGTGTGAGTAGTTGCATGTATAATGAGCTTGAATTGGCTAAGCCCATCACTGCAGAGTTCTCTCTCTCTCTCTCTCTCTCTCTCTCTCTCTCTCTCTCTCTCTCTCTCTCTATCTCTGTCCCTCTCTCTCTCTCTCACACACACATACACATCTAATCGCTTTAACTGCAGTGCCGAGTGTGTGTCCTCGCCTAATCCACCGCATGAGGATCAGAAACTGAAATGCAGGATCATCACAGACACACACACACACACACACACACACACACACACACACACACACTCCGCCGTTCTTGTGTGTGTACGCCACATATCAGGTGTACAGTATGTTCTGACTCCCCAGCTGTTTACCCACAATCCTGTTTGTCTCTTGAAGATGCCCTGTAATGGTCTCCGGTCTCGGTTCGACCCGAAGCATGGCTGTGTGATTTTACGTATTTTGTGATTATACGCTTATGTGTGAATCCTCAGGGTTTGGCTTTGATTTAATTCTTAAACATTTTTAGTGTAAACATGAAAAAAATACATAGAGCTCCCTCTGAACTTTAAAGTGGTTTATATGTTTTCAAGCCATCTGCAATAGTCTAATCTCACTAACATTAGCTACCTAGTTTAGCCAGTCAGCTAGTTAACTAGCTCACATTTAGTGTATTCTGTACAGACTGTATAATTGGGCTTGAGATGTTGCTTCTGTTATTTATCTTCACAGTGTTAATTAGTGCCATGCAAAACTACTATATTCGATATAGAACTTCTTTTTTTTTTTTTATCTTTGGAGTATTTTACCAATTTATTCTTTAGAAACTCCTTCCATCTTGGCTGTTCTTTTACTTTGAGGAGGTCAGAAATCAAGGTCGGGGTGTGAGAGTTGGCCTGGAGGTTAGAGTCAGAGATTTACATTTACATTTATATTTATGGCATTTGACAGACTCCCTTATCCAGAACGACTTACAAAAGTGCTTTGAAGTCTCTATCAATAAATATATTCTGATAGTGGTTCACTAGATCACAAACTAAGATAGTAACATAGTAACAAGCACACAGACTATACGATTTTTTTTAAAGTGCTAATTTAAGTACTTTATGAAGAGGTAAGTCTTTAGACGTCGTTTGAAGACTGCCAGTGACTCAGCTGTTCGGACATCTGGGGGAAGTTCATTCCACCACCTCGGTGCCAGAACAGAGAAGAGTCTCGATGCAGGTCTTCCTTGTACCCTGAGAGATGGAGGGATCAGTCGAGCAGTGCTAGAGGACCGGAGGGAGCGTATTGCAGTGCAGGATGTGATAAGAGCTTTGAGATAAGTGGGTGCTGGTTCGTTTTTGGCTTTGTAGGCGAGCATCAGTGTTTTAAATCTGATGTGGGCAGCTACAGGAAGCCAGTGGAGGGAGCGCAGCAATGGGGTGGTGTGGGAGAACTTAGGAAGGTTGAAAACATCTAACAACAGAGATAAAGTTAGCCTCTAGGTCAAGGTGTGAGTTGCAGTTGAAGTTGGGTTACAAGTTAGACTTTATCCAGGGGTTTTAAGTTTTGCAGGATCGAATCTGTGGCTTTGTGTTTTAATGCTTTTTGCTGTTTTATTCATTCATTGATTTATGGTCCCTAGTGGTCTAGTGGCTAAGGATCCAGCATTCTCACTGCTGTGGCCCAAGTTCAATTCCCAGCCAGGGAACCGACCCAGCCACTGGGAGTGTACACTCAGTGCCGGTCCCAATGGGAGGGTTACGTCAGGAAGGGCATCCGAGGTAAAATAAATAAAAAACTTGTGCCAAATCAAACATGCGGGCCAATGACCTGCTGTGGTGACCCCTAACAGGAGCAGCTGAAAGAACAACAACATTCATTCATTTATTTATTTCATCTTGTGTCTGTTTTATTTCACTGCTGTTTGAAATTTGTTGTCTTTAAATGTACTGTATAAGTAAAGGTGACATGACCTGAACTTAGGATTTCTCTTGGTTGTGATTAGCTTCTCTGTCAGCAGGGTGACACTGAGACTTGGGAACTGTTATGAGGTTAGTCTCAGGTCTCTGGACCTTTTTCCCCAGAGATATGGTTCTGAAGCTGAGCTCTCATGACCACAGTGGTCCAGTTCTTCTCAGGGAAATTGAAGTAGTTCTTCACCAGAATACTAACCAACTTCCAGTGTACAGAGCGCACCTGATTCCCTTCACTTCCTCCTTCAGAGGCACAATATTGACAAAACTTTCCCATCACACTGTGTAAAGTCTTGCCTTCTTTCCCATCCACAATTCTGAGCTGTTTGTCACTTTGTGTTGGAATTTTTAAACTAGGACTGTATATCTTTTTTTGCTGTTTTTCCTTGCCCCTTTGGATTTGTTTACCGTTTCTATACTTCCTGTTTTGACCAAGCCTGCTCTATTGCAATGCACTTTTAACACATATGTAACTGGTTAACTGTAACTGCTATTATGATCTGCCCTTTAACCAGTAAAATGAAAAGTTAGTAGTCACATGACCAACATCTGTCACGTCTCTCTCTCTCTCTCTCTCTCTCTCTCTCTCTGTCTGTCTGTCTCTCTCTCTCTCTGTCAGAGTTGAGTGCCCTTGTTTTGGATTACGACAGGGCCGGTTATGTACCCTAAGGAGCGTGAACAGATGCTTTACTGCCGAGATGTCCGTCGACAATTACTCTCATTCTTCATTGCTCATTTCACACAGAGCGAAATGGCGCCGTTATTAATCGAGCCACTTCATATGGAAATGAGAGACTAATTTTACCAGCATGGGCCGTTTCTGAGTCTGGCTGATTTTAACACACACACACACATACACACACTGTCTCATTTTTACTTCATAAAGATTAAATAGGGAATCCAATGTTATTCATTAAGGTGTATTAGCTGAGCATTAAGGGGAAGTGAATTTACAGGTGTTCACTTACACAGATTTATTGCAGCGAGGCTGATTAATCACTGCTCTGGGAATTTGATCCGCTCAAAGCATTTTAATAAAACACGTGTATCTGCTGTGGCCATGTGCTTGTCATTGGTTATACAACATGCACAAGGGAAATACAGAACTGGGTAATGCAGCACCTTAGGAACATAGGGTGCTAGAAATATATGGGATTGAGAATATAGGATTGAGAAATACTGAACCCTGGAATTACAGGGTCCTGGGTATGTAGGACTCTGGGAACTTAGTTACCTGGGAATATGGGGCCTTAGAGAAATAGAATCCGAGGAACATAGATTCCTGTAAGCCCCCGTGAACATAGGGTCCCAGAAACATTGGGGTCTGGGAGTATAGGACCCTGGGAATGTAAAGCACTTGAAATGTAGCCACCGGTAAAATAAGGCATTATGATATTGGCAACATCAGGCATTGGGAACGTATGTAACTGTGAATATAGGGCCCTAGAACCACAGTACAGGCCCTGAGCATGCAAGACTCTGGGTATTTGATGCCACAGGAACATATGGCCCCTAGAAAGGCCTTAGGAAGTTAGGCCTCTCTAAACAGAGTGTCATGAAAATATAGTGCCTTAAGGACATATGATCCTGTACGCAATGTAGCTCCCTGGGAACACTTCAGGAACCTTGGGCCCTAAGAAGGTATTCCCCCCTGGAATATATGGTTCTGACAATACAAGGGATTGGAAATATTAGGCTCTGGAATTACTATGCCCTTAAGTACCTAGGAATATAGGCTCCTGGGCATGTAGGGCTCTGGTTACTTAGGACACCAAAGAATATAGGACCATAAAATATGTGCTTCTAGAAATATGTTCCTGGGAATATAGGGCCATAAGAATATAGGCACCTGAACTATTAGGCTCTGATAATATAGTGGTAACACAAGACACTAGGAATACAGGGAACTTGCCATGTAGGGCTCTGGGTACATAGAGACCCAGGAAGATTGGGCCCTGGATATATGGGTCCCAAGGAATGTAGGCTTTTGGACCATAGAACTCTGAGAACATAAACCTAAATGAAGACTGGGTCTTGGGAATATACATTCCTTTAAACACCGGGCCTTGAAAATGTAGGGCCCTGGAAATATAGGCACTGATGCTATAAGGTGCTGATAATATAGTTACTTGGCAACATAAGGCTCTGGGAATATAGGACCCAAGGAACATCGGGCTATAGGGTCTCAGCAATATAGTGCCCTAGAAGTATAAAGCCTGGGGCATGTAGGGCCCCTAGAAATATTGGGCCCTCAGTATAGAGGTCTCTCCAAACTAGGGCCCAGGCCCATGAAATATATGCACTGAGACAATAAGGCCCTGATACTATAGTGGCAGAATATGGCCCAGGAAAAAACCCGAGCTAAGGGAACATAGATGATCTTGGAATATAGAAGTATGGAAAAATATTGACCTTGTAACCTTAGTTATATTTCTCAAAACCAGATTTGTCTCAGTTTTAAATAAAATTCTTGTATAATAAAGACTGAGTCACAATGTTTTTCTGTTTTATAATACTTGTTAAAATAAAACTAGTTCTTTTTTCCAGTCCCAGGGTGAAGATGCATTATTTTTTTTATAATGGTTTAGCATGGTTTTACAGTTGCTAATCTCATGTTCAGGTTTGACTGGAAGACAGTAGTTCTTGAGCAGTAGCAGTTGAGCATTCAGAATGATGTGATGAAGGTGTGTACTTTCCTTAAGCTCCGAGCGACAGGTAGTGCCTTTTTCTTCCAGTCTGCTGATCGCTGAGCTCTGACATGCTCCTGTCTGCTGGTTTCTCTCTAATCTTGAGCTTTGACAGGGTGGCGTTGAGACCATATTTTACAAGTGTCTAAATCCGCAGTTTCACCCAGAGGGAGAGCTACAGAAGAAGCTTAAAGCATGCTGTAATCCGCTATGTGGCTAATTACTGGATGCTAATGGGAGATTAGCTGTGTTAGCATCTTAGAGCTGGTGCAGTACAAAAACATCTTCCTCTTTGATTTTTTTTCTGTTGTATTCCCTGGGATTATGCCTTCACTAGGCATGTGCTAGTATTAAATTTTCAGATCATGCTAATTGAACATTTTTAATCGGTTTGGTTGTGTATTTTTAAAAATATGGAGACCAAACTGCCAAACTAAGGTGTAAAATTACTTACATTCATATTTGTGATTGTAGATTTCCAGAAAATGTTTCACAGTTATAATCATAGTTCAACCTCACACTCTATGAAACTAGCATAAGCAGCTAATTCACCTGAGTTAGTGAGCTAGCAACTTTGTTCAGCAGACAATAGTTTAATTGAGTTCAGCAGCAGAAAATAGCAGTCATGCCTAACAGATTTGGAGAAGACTTTCTAGTGCTTAAAATGACTTAACTAACACAGAATCACAATTGTGGAGCTAGCATATACAGCTAATTAGGTTGCTTAGCTAGCTATCTTTGTTAGTAAGTGAACAGTAGTCTCATTGTGTTTAGCATCAGAAATGTCTGTTATAGGATAATAATCAACGACAGATTGGTGTGATGACGCGAAGCTACTGTCACCACTGAGAAGTTTCCTGTTGTACAAATGAGCGAGAGTGAAAAAAGAAAGCAGAGATGCACAAATGGATGCTATTTTCATGCTAACAACGTGATGTGTACATGCTACATCTAATGTAAGGGGTGCCATTTTTAAATCTTATATTGAATAGATTGAACACAAGGATATTATTATGTTACACATGGGATGTTTGGGATACATTTGGGATATTCTAGTTAATACTCGCTCAGTTTAATGTTCGTTTTTTCCACAGATGGTAAAATGTGAGAATAAGAGATGAGTGGTGAGAGGATCCTCAGTCTCCAGTGTATTGGATTTTCTCTCCTTGTCCATCGTGTCCTTACTGTGAGAGAACGATTACTGATGGAGGAGATAAAGAGCAAGAGAGCTGTGTGTACACACGCACATACACACATACACACACAGAGAGAGAGAGAGAGAGAGAGAGATTCCAGCTTGAGGTGATTTGTTGATGTATAAAACTGTTCGTCTTTGTCAGATTTTCAATCTCGGCGTGTTTAACGTACAGGACACTCCACAGGGGAAGGTGGCATTTCTCACAGCAGGACACCGTGACCTCGCTAAGGACACACCCGATAATGTTTCGTATTACAAATTTAACAGTGGTCATTTTAACAGTTGTTAGTAGTGATGGGAAGATCGGATCATTTTACTGACCTGGAACTTTGAATCTCGTTCAGCAAAATGGACGAGAAGTCTTTAATCTTTAATTCAAAAATTTAATTAAAATGTTAACTTTTCAATAGCCAGATTCCCCCAACACGTCTACTTACGCAAACTTATCAAACTGATCATATTGCGAATAAGAAAAAAATGATAATCCAGCCAAGGACAAATTATGAGAAACAGAAATGATTAATTCACCACTGGGTCTTCTGGTCCGAGCCGTTCATTCTTTTGTCACGTGACAGCTGCATAGGCTGAGGCTCTGAAAAGTTTAAAGCATTAACTATCTCTTTATTACCAGACACAAAGAACCCTCTTGACATTGTATGAAATAAAAAAAGCTAAAAATTGAGACCAGAAATGTGTTTTATAACCAAAAGAGTAAAAATAAAACTTAACTACCAGCTTGTTTGTAAGAAAGGTTGAGAATTATGAACTAATTTCTGTATCCAATACAGAATATATTCGGCTGTCACGTCACGCGACAAATGAACGAAAGACTTGGACCGGAGAAGAGACT